CCATCCCAAAAGGATGTCCCTCTCTCTCCCCAGTCTTAAGCATCACGGAGAAAGGAGATGCCATAAGCCTCAGACTTACCATTTAAACTGTTCCTTTCGCCTTGCTCAGCGGGGAAGGGACACCAGGAGCACCAACCCTCAGAGAGTCACCTGATGAATTTAGGCAGGTCTTTGTCTTCTCCCTTCACCTTCTGAACTCAAGCCAAGACTCTTACCTCTCTGCCTGGCTCTTGAGTTCCAGACTGCTGTCCTCAGCTAGCCCTTCTAAGTCGGTACTACTACACACGCACATCCTTTATGAATGTGAGCATGATCTAGCTACTCATAGGTCACCTTCAAACTCCTTGAAAGGAAAACCCATCTCCGGAGCCTCCCAATATTTGCCTGATGAAGTCACTTGGTGAGCCCTATTCAGCAAAACACCTTTTTTCATTAGCATGGAYGGAAATTCCTGGGCCTCACACCAGGGGGATCCGTGTGGATCAGAGGAGGCTAGAAATAGTGTTCCAAATTAGTTTTGTTGCAAGTTCCAGTTCCCGTAGCAGAGGAATCTGGGTTACTCCCATCCTGGAGGAGAAAGCACTGAATTTCTCCAAAGGCAAAGATGGGCTCAGCAACTGAAAAAGAGTAAGAAGTGGGAAGTTCCCAGGCAGAGATGTGACAGCTGGGATCCCCCTCCCAATCTTTCTTTCCTCCTTTTGAGGTGTAATTACATACGGTAAAATGCACAGATCTAAAATATATGGTTCACTGAATTGGACAAATGGTTACACCCATGTGATCTACACCCTATCAACTTAGAAAATTCCCTCCTGCCCCCTTCCAATCAGTCCCATCCCTTTTCCCTAGAAGCAACCACAGTTGATTTCTATCCTCAGAGTTGCTCAGATTTTGACCTGATGCATTTGAGTTCTGTCTCTTTGGTCTTGGGTCATCTGAACAAGAGAATCTCATCAGCAGTTCCAATATCTTTATTCCCTTACCATTGAAAAGGGTTCTCGCTGAGCCCCTAGTGTTTGGCTCTGCTGCCCCCAGTATGCCATCTGACCCCCAGGGCTACTCTCTGAGCCCAGTCCTATCCCAGTCCAAGAGTTTAGCACCAGTCTCGCAGGTAAGTAAGTGGCGGAAGTTCTTGGTCACGGGGATTGTGCATGCTTTGTTGATTAATATCTGAAAAACGCAATGCACAGGGCCACAGCATGTCCAGCAGCATGTTGATTTTCCTTAAAGCCCTGCACAAAAGGGAGCAATTCCTTTTGTGTGTTTCCTTTCAGAAACAAAGGATTCCATGATCGCGTTCTTCCAGGCTTCTAGCCATCGAGATGGCCACAGAGCTGAAATGATTAGTCAGTGTGGAGGGTGGGAATTGAACGTGTGGGTGTTTGTAAACCTAGTACTAAGCCCTGTGGTCCATGAAATTGAAGGATCCCAAGTCCTATTGGATTACACTTTGCCAAATGTCTCCAAGGTGAAAAGCACTTTGACTATATGCAAAGCTTTGGTGTCTCTGGAATGTACCTTCGGCAGCTCGGTTCTTAATCACCGTATATTTTTTCACTTGGACAAAGGCTGCCTGCTAATAGCATTTTCTACTGCACTCAGCTGCTTCGTTCAGCGACACCAAGGCCCTGGGCTGAGCTGGCTGCAGTTTCCTGGCACCATGACCCATTCCCAACTGACCAACACTGAGGAACATCATGCATTCACACCCTGAAAAAAAAAATGCTCCCTCTGTAGCTGTGCAATTGCCAGACACAGGCGGAGTTACCTCTCCCCTTCCTGAGCAGTTCTTTTAGAACCATCCAAACTGGAGGCAAGGATGGAGGAGAGGGGAAGGGAGAAAAGAGCCCTAGGAGTGCAGGCAGTACCCTCCTGTCTCTGAGCAGAACAGGTGCCTCAGGAGCTGCCTGCAAGCCCCCAGGGGGATATCCACTGGGGCAGCTCATCTCTGAGCACAGGTAGCCTCTGCTCAGATTTCCCTTTGATCCCTGAACACTACGGGAGACTCCGCTCTTCAGAAGGGAGGCTGCTGCTGAGCTAGTGGGATTGCAGGATCTCTTCCCCCAAAGCCCTGGGCCAGGCATCTAGCCATGCCTGCGTCCTGCATGATTAACTGCCTCCCAGCCCGAGCCTGCCCTCACTCACCCAGGAGGTCACAGTGTAGCCAGTAGATTGCAGCTGGGCTGAGCTGCTTCCCAAGCTGCCCGGAACCCTCATGACCTCCATCTTTAGCAGCAGAACTGGCATTTGGTAAATGCRTGAGTGCAACAGTGGGGAGAGGGAGACAGAAATGCCAAGCCACAGCACCTGGATTGATGAGAGGTTGGGAGCAATCTCAGGAGTGGCCCCTGGGCTGGTCACCTGCACCATTCACCTCTGAAGTCCTGGGAAATAGAAATGGGGTGGGGGAGGGGAAGGCAGTTACAGGCTGGCCACAGGTCTTTGGAGTCAGCTGTGAGGCTGAGCTCCTGGACTATGGTAGGAAAAGATTAATTAGCAACTCCAAGCCCAGCCCAGGCCTGTCTGTGAAGCTGGGAGGAGTTAAGGTCAGGGGTGCCTCTGGGCCARATTCACCTAGAACAGATAGACACATCATCCTTCAGAAATAAAATATCCAGCCCCCTCTCCAGCCAAAAATGACCTCACTAATGAGGCTGGAGCTGCAGTGAGGGTTTGGGCAACTAGTGAACCTGATTTTCCTTGTTTCTAGGCTTTGAGCATACATATTGGCAAAAGACACTTATTCAGAAGAGTTGGAGATTTTTCCCCCATATCTGCCAGTTAAATCAGAGCCCCAAAAGCCATGTATAGCAAGCCAGAACATACATATATTTGGGTACACACTGTGTTGTTTGTGGTCCTGGTGGAAGATAGTTGGGAGAAGAAGGAGGAGTTGGTATTAGGGGTCTAGCAATAAGCAGGACCCAAGAGGAAAGCAGAATTCTTAGGTTCCTTTCATAGGAGCAGGGACGGGATGAGTGATAGGGGATGGAGGAGCTCACCCCAGGAGGTCCCTAAACTCACTCTGTCCCAGTGAGGACCCCCRAACACCTTCCCATACTTCCTGTCTTCGGGCCTGCACCAGGAAAGCACCTTCATTCCCAGGTGGACCAGCTGGATGACAAATGCCTCACCCCACACTCCATGTAAGAAAGGTCACTGAAGGAGTGCCATTGATTCCAGGGACTGGAGGGGAGGCCTTCAAGGCCAGCCTCTGCCTTCTAAGAGCTATTGTGGTACCTAACCTGCCGTAGACAAAGAAGTAGCCATCCTGCTTAAAGATTCTCAAAGACTGATACAAAAACCCTCCAGGATTTTTTAACAATCTSATTTAAAAAATCCTTAGCCTAGTATAAACGTACCCTGCTGCAGGCTAAGTTTAGTGTATTTTAAGATTCAGATAAGGTTGTTGATGGGGAGTGTAGRCAATTTCTTTCTTTTCTTAAGATAGGGTGAAAAATGAAAAGTTTTCGTCTCACTGGCAAAAATAGGGAATGAAAGAAAGGGGTGGGGGAAAGAAGAAAAGAAGAAGTAGATGCAGGTTTTCCTGTAGCTCCCGAGGGCAGTTAGTTCTGTTTCTGTCTAAGCACCCATCTGTGCCATCAAAATTCTCAGCCAGCCTGGCCGTGTCCCTCTGTGGAGACCTAAGCCAGATGACATGTTGTCCTGCATCCAGCTAACTCCAAGCCTGTGTTGTTCATTTTTAGATATGCCCATTATCCATCAATTCATCAATCAGCAGGTTTATYGAGTACCCTACCAGGCTTCACAAACCTGATCAATTTTTTTTAATTACATCCAGCTTACACGCAGCCAAGCCCAGTCATCTAGATGAGCTTCCACACCCTGCTTGGAAATGAACACGAGGAACTGCTGGCCCCTGCAATGTCACGACCAAGCCCCACAGCCCTTGCTGACAGGGGATGGTCTGCTACCCTTTGCAGATGGCGATGGTRTCGCTGACCCACTGTCAATACTATGATGAGTTTTGCGTATTCTCCTAGACGCGTGATCTATCTGCTTGGGTCCGGCCCCACTGTCTGGACCTCTGCCCAATGAGATATAGATTTCTGAAGAGGGTGGGCCAAGGAACAGGTGCAAACTCTGTCAAGGGAAGTAAACAGCAACTGATCCTTGTTCATCTGCTCAGCCTCCCTTTGGTGTCCTGAATCCCCTCCCAAACCAGAGGCTCCTCAACCATGTCCTYAGGACATATAGACATTTGGACTCTCCAGGACATCTAGGCCTCATGCACTGGGCCTCATGGTCTAGTGTATTATCTTAGTTTTTGAAAGGAATGGCCACATAGGTTATAAGCAGAGACTTATAGGCTTCCTGACATGGGGCCAGCAAACTCAGCCTCTGGGTATCACAGGTGGAGAGTTGAGACCATAAGGAGACAACAGGAGTCCACTGTCCTGGGACATCCAGTGGTTCTGAGCCTCAGCAAATGTCCCTGTCATTTTCACAGCCCCAGAACCCATCCTCAAAGCTTGTGTCTATCCTACATTTCAAGCAGGATTCATAGATCTTCTGTGTTCCCAAGACTAGTTAATTTATTCATTTCTAAGTCACCCAGATCCATAACCACCATTTATTTGGATCAACCCACCCTTCCTGATCTCAGTACTCCCTAATCCACCTTTTCCTCCTATCCTGCTTGAATAAAATCAAGTTCAGGGGCAGCCCACAAGCATTAAGAGGTGCTCTACCCCAGGGTTTAAATGCCTGGTTCTTTGGTAAGTAAAACTTCTACACTCCCCAAAAGTACCAGCCACACACCCTCACTCCCTGAACCTGCCCTGCAGTCCTGGCTTTTCCAACTGTCCCCAGTTAGGATTCCCATGCTAGAGACCCCAGTCAAACTGGTCAGTCGGGTTGGTGAGTTGTTTGGCCTCTATGGCTTGGGCAGCAATTAATTMACCTGTCTGGCTCTCTGTCTCTGTCCCTCTGTGTGTGCGTGTGCACCTGTGCGTGCCTCTGTGCCTGTCTCTCTGCAGGGAAAGTCGCTGGCGGGCAAGCGCCTCACCGGCCTGATGCAGTCCTCCTGAGTGTCCCCACCACAGGGCCAGGGCCCGGGCCCTCAGAGCACACGGGCAGGCGGCGGCGCTCCACATCTGCGGACAGAGTTTCCTTGCGGGGAGATTTGGTCACTGTGAAGGAGAAAGAGTGAGGGCCATGGAGGGCGATGGTGGGGAGACTTGGTGGGTGAACGGGGACACCAGGAAGTGTCCACAGACCTGGGCCAGCAGGGAGAGGCTCCTGTTTACACCCTCTTCCTTGTACAGTTGTGCGCCAACACTCTGTCGACTTGGAGGCCCTGTTTCTAACTGAGTCAGGAGAGAGCAGCTCATGGRATTCCTGTCCGACTATCACTTGAGATTATATTCTTATTATCCTCACTCCTCCTGCTGCCTGGGGGAGTCACACCCGCCAGCACATGCAAGAGGAGCCAGTGGACCCTGGGCACGTCCAGTATTATGCATCGCCCCTCTCTGGTGCCCCCACAGGGTGCACCTTCGTCACAGCCACCATGACCCACCCCAGCCCCCCACCCCGACTCTATGGCCACCTGGGTATGACCAGCCAGCACCAGGCACAGCTCCCACATAATATGTGCGGATCCTGTTTTCAATGCGAAGGCGACCTCACCTCACGTGCTTTCCACCCACTTTGAGACCAACTTTCAAAGAGGTCTCCACGGGTGCGGTGGCAGCCCTTGGGTCCCCTCAGATGTCTCAAGGGCCCAACACTGGAGGATGGGAGAGCACTGGTGCAGATGGAAGAGCGTGTTAATGAACAGCCATGGAGGTTCTGATGACCATCTTTTAAGAAAATTATTATTTCATTTTTCCTGTCTTTGCACCCTCGCTCCTTGGTTTGTTCCCTCACATTTTACTTAAAATAAACACGGCCGTGAACWTCAGGGGCCATTGGGATTCTCCCCTCTGGCAGCCTCAGGTGGAAGCTGGGAGGGCTCCGGCCCGGGAGGTGGCCAGATTGAGACCTGGAAGCCCCTAGATGGTGGCATTCTGGTAGGCACAGCCAGATCCTTGCTGGGTCAGGCGTCAGTTGTTCCTGAAGCTTCGGCAGAGTGTGCTATGGCAGGTCCAGGCCAGGGCCACGTGGTTCCCTTCCCAGTCTCAATCTGAGGGCCAGCCAGAGCACCCTGTTAAACAAAGCCTGTCTATCTAGGAGAAAGCAAAGTCTGAGAAAGATCCCCTGGGTTCCTTGTGTGAGTGTGCACGTGTGTGTGTGCACGCGTGCRTGCRTGTGTGCGTGCGAAAATGACTTTGCSAACGTGGCTGTGAGGACGTGTATATAGAGCACCAAGTCAGGTGCCTGACACATAGTAGGTGCTTAGCAAATGGTAGCTAATACTGTCATCGTCGTCACTGTTGTTATTGTGATACCCACGAKACCTCGGGCAGAGCTGTATTGAGCAAGCTGTTTCTGAATTCAGACACTCAACCACCCCTACCTGCTACGACGATCCTCCTTTGATCTATTTTTGGCCACAGGTGAAAAAAAAAAATCTCCCTTGGGAGTGTATAAACAGAAAACATAGAAGGAAAAAAGTGATCCTTGGTGTTTCTTTACTCATGCAGGAAAATGCACCAGCTGGTGACCAAAGGCTCATTGGATCGCCATCCCAGCCTTCTGGGTGCTTCCCTATGACCCATCTTTCCAACCCCCGACCTCCTAGTCCTGTCTTTAGACCCTGTCCCCAGACCCCCACTCTCCCATCCCTCACAGTAGAGCCATCAGGAACATTAGGAGTCTCCATTATGGGGTATCCTCACGGGTTCTTCCCTCCCGGCTGTAGTTCTTCTCTCTTCAGATACAAGAAAGTAGAAAGGTGACATGTGTGGGGTCCTGAGAGAGTTTTCAAAGGGGCAAGACAGACAGAGATTCTCGGTGGGCACACCCACACTCTCAGCACCAAGCCCGGCACTTTGCAGATACTTGGTAACTACCTGAGTAAATGAATGTGATGAAGCCTTATCTCAATGACAGGATCTCAAAAGGGGCCTCTTTCCACTTTTTTTTAAATCCCCTTTTTATTTATACGCACTTCCTGTTTCAGAACAAAGTTATGGTCCAAGTTCATTTGCACCCCACATTGTCCCAACTGTGCTGATAGGGAGGCGTGTGGACAAGGAGGGTTCCCAAGCAGTGGGCACCTTTGTACCTTCAGTTATTCAGGGGAAGGGGTCTGGCTGCCTTCTGCCCCACCCCCCCACAGGCTGCAGAGGACATCCTAGGTCAGGCTGCAGACACACAGGGTCGGCTTCCTGGCCATGACTTCTGCGCCCCTTCCTTCCTCCCAATTCTTTACTGTTGCTCCTGAGCTATGCTGGCCTGAGAACTGACCTTCACCATGGAGGACCCTAAAGGGCCCATCCAGAGCCAGATGGACTGTGGCCCTGAGATGGAACAAGCTCAAGGATTCTAACTACCTTGGGGACATCCAGAGGGGAGGACAATGACAGCAGAGGCTCCACAGAGGTGAGGATACCTCAGATGGATTCAAACCCAGAGCAATAACCCCCTAATCCTCACCTTTTTTTTTTTTTTTTTTGGCAGAAGCAGGCATGGTCCTGCGACCACCACCATATGTGCTCCTCAGTAGATCAAACAGGGGAAGGAAGGAAGTGGGGCAGGCTGCTTCACCCAARTTTGCCAGTCCAAGGCCAGCCTACCACTCAGACCTTTTAATGCAAGGATTTAGAAAATCGAGTCTTGGCCAGTTCCCCGTTGGTCTGGTGGACATGGCCAACATTCCAGGCTAGGTTAGAGGTTTGAAGGTAGTTCTGTAGCCAAGCAGATTCTCTGTCCCATCCTGTCCCCTAAAACCACCTGAGCTTCCCTGTCTGGGCATGGCCTCTGAGCCTAAGATGCTTCCCCCTGAGGGTTCGAAGGGTAACTATCATTTTGATGGACCATGGCCAAAGTATCAGGGCAGCCTTAGCAAGTGACCACCAACCCCTCTAGGCAAGACACATGGGCCCCAGGGATGAAACATCTGAATGAATTAACCTTCCCTGCCTGGGAAGAGGACAACAGGTATAAATGCCCAGTGGCAACCAGATGGCCTGACCCAAGCAGCTGGAACTCTCTAGGTCGGAAGAAGGCTCCTGCTCTCCCAGAAAGTGATGTCCCAACTTTGTCCTCCTGGGAAGGTGTTACAATACCCCAGAGGCCCAGCTGCCAACGCAATTGACTGGGCCTGGGTTCCAGGTTCTCCACTGCTGAGTGGTCAGTACCAGGCCGACACCTCAGAAGGGCCTCTTGCAACTCTGGGTTGCTAACTGACTAGCTGAACAGGTAGGGACATGCTCAGGGGCTCTCCCCTATCAGGATTCTTGGTATGTTCAAACTACCTCACCAACAGGACACTGACCCAGGAGCCTGCCTCCCATCTGGCTCCCTGGCTGGTTTTTGGAAATGGATATTTTTCCTAAAATGCATCCCTCCTGATCTGTTCCAAATGCACAGGCTTCAAAAGCCACCACCAGGAAGCCTTCCCAGAAGGTAGAAAGGACTGAGGGTTATTGGTCTTTGGGTCTTGCAGAATGCAGAAGCTGGGAAGCCCTGGGCTGGGGGAAAATAATGTGCCATCACTAAAAAGGATCTGGCTGAGATGAATGTGTAGCAAGGACCATGAAATAGTCAAACAGTGGCCAAATTAATCACTAATAACTCGCCACAGGAACCTCTGAAGGGAGGCCTGTGCTCATGTAACCATGGCAACAGCAGACGCCAGCAACTTACTCATTAGTGCCACCCAGTAATAAGGCATCCCCTGGGCAAGACCAGGGGCCATAAAGTAGCAAAGTAGCAAATGTAGCAATAAGGGGCCCAGGGCCCCAAAGGGGCAGGGCCTAAATTACTAGGGCTCAGCCCTCTCCCTAGCCCCTGTAAGGGCTCAGAGCCAGCTGCTGCCAGCTGTCTGGGGAGAGGAGGCCCTGCACACCCCAGGGCCTGACCTGTATTCTATGCCCACTTACTGCATGATCATGGACACATCGGAATGGCCTCTTCATAGTGCATGTGGTTCTCATTAGTTTATTTTTCTGGAATTGGGGGATTGGACCCCAGAACCAAACATGCTGGTAATAGTTTTAAAATAAATGACTTGAACCCACTACAATCTAGCTAACTCTGTGTGACTCCTTGGTTTGGCTGTTCATTGGGCAGGATTTGTTTCTAAGGGGAAAAACAAAAATCTACCATTCCTCTCATCCTCTACCGTGCCCCGTTATCACATGTGTGGGCTCCTATGCAGAAACACACACACACACACACACACATTCTGTTTCCCTCTCGCTCCCAAGGATGCTAGGCAGCTCAGAGAAGCCAGATCACTCTGCTAGGTTGGAATAGCAGCGTCACCAGAAGGTTGAAGCTCCTACTTCCACCAGGGTGTCCCTGGCTGGGTGGTCTCCGTGTCCCACTGTCTTTGCTCAGGTTCAAAACCCAGTGGCCACTCTGACACCACCTTGAATAAAGTCTCGGGATTGAAGTCCATTGCATACAGACGGTGCTCTTTATGGGGAGTCTTGGTTTCCTGAGCGACAGACAATCTCATTTCCCGCTAACACCAAAGCAGCAGGACTCCGAGAGCCTGAGAGTCAGGCTGACAAGAGGAGGAAGAGAACAAAGTAAAAAGGACTCTCTATTAATGACGAGGCTGGCACCTAGCAGCACGCTTCAGTGGCTGGAAATTTTGCTCCTGGAGGTAGAAATGATTTCAGAGGCATAGACATGAGTCTTCAGTCACATCTGGATGGGAGCCAAACTCTCTCAAACCCGAGACAYCTCCTTGAGCAGAACTTCCTGCTCTACAAGGTCAAGTTCAAGGTCACACCTGCCTGGAGTCTATAGTGTGCCCCACCGTTAGGTCCTGGCCCATCCGCAAAAGAGCCACGCTTCCCTGTCCTCCCGGCCATGGCCACCCTTCCTACCCAGCCAGACCATCTGGCTTATTTCCAGAATATTTGTTTAGCAAGCTGTCACTGTGTGTGCACACAATCCTACAGACCACCAAGGACAGA